TCCTGCTGACATAAGAGGAATGAATTGATCCTCAACTCATAACTGTTCAGAGCTAAGCTCTTTTAGAGACCTTAATGGACTAACATCCTCTGACGTTTGAGCTACTCATATTTGCAAAGTTGCTATGGTGACAAATGAGGTTCTGGTTAAAAAAAAATAGTAATAATTCCATTTTGCTTAACCACAAATTCCAGAAGAACTCAGCATGTTTCCAAGAGAACATCTCTGCCAAAATGAATACACAATGCCCTTTCTTTCTGAGCAGTTGCATTTATAGTAAAATTTAAGTCTACAGGGTGCTTTCATTACAGTACCTTGTGATGCCTTACTCAAATTACTATCAACCATATTTAAAATAGCACAGTGTTCATTTCTTGAAGGAAGAATCGGGGATTGCTCAAGGGAACAATGTGTAGCACTAAATGCCTGGGGCTTGCTTCAGTTCCCTCTTCCTCGTTCTGACGAAGTAAAACAGCCCTAAAGACAGTATGATCCTTCACCTTCAATTCCTCTGCCTGGCACTGCAAACCCATCACACATGGCTTAAAGGTGCTTCAACTCATGCAGGGGGCTCTGTCCCTGTGGGCAATGGCACTGGACCCAGGGTTACAAAGATAGCTGTTCATCCCTCTGGTCTGGCAGTAAGCAAAGCCAGCTGAGGAGATTTGATCCATTTTCTGTCTCTCAATATCATTAATTTTTGTATGCATGGAACATTTTGCAGACAGGGATCTGAATATGTAGTGATAACGGCTGTTACAAGAAGGGATCACTAGTGAACTTACTTAGCACCCACACAGACCAGCTTCCAAAACAGGTGACAGATTTTTGAAGGCTTTTCATATTTTCTCACAGATACCTAGGGCCCTGATACACAACAGGATTCCCTTCTAGAGTGCTCTCTCCTACATGTGTAGCAGGTCAGGTTCTATTTCAGTGCAGTTTTTCTAAGCACCAGGTATTGTTCAAAAAGGGGGGAAAGAGAGACATGATTTACATAATTTTCTCTCTCAGTTGATCATATGGGGACAGAAGAGATATTTATATCTTAGTTATTAAGCAGTTGACTGAGCAGTTGGCTCAGAGCCTAAAGCTAGACATAATCACAAGTCCAAGGCAAAGTGTAAATGCTTAGAGTAAGCTTGCTTCACCCTGAGTTACCTTCTAGAGCAGGTACTGCTCTCTGTTAGAAGGTGGTAGCCAGCAGCACCACTCTGGCAGAGCCTGGACTCAGGACATGAAGCTTTCCTTCCTGCAGAGCAGGTCTGAGTATCAGCAGAATGGTGGCAGTCAGCAACTGAGGAGTGCCGCAAGTGTGCTCTCAAGTTGCCCATTAACTGTGTTTCATTCAAATTGCAGAAGAGCAGTATTTTACTCTGCCTGTGTCAGGGGTGTTGGAACTAGATAATCCTTAAGGTGCCTTCCAACCCAAAGCATTCTATGATTCTAACAGAGTTTTGTACGTAAGCTGTTTAACCACCACTACTGGCGGTCCCAGGGTGTTTCAAGGCCTAAGATACTCGAATTTAGCTGTAGTCATGGTTAGCACTTGTATTGTTTGAAAGGGAGATAAATCAAAGTTCAGAGTCAGTCCCTGCCCATGGCTTAATGCGCAATGTAAACATTGCTGTCATTCTGGCAGGTCGAAGGCCTATATCGGAACACGCTGGAGAGAAGCAACAGAAGGAAGACAAAATGGTTTTGAAGTTTTGCTGATAAATTTAGTTTCTGATTTTTAAAAGCGAAAGATGAGAAATGAATAAGCTGTTGATTTTATTTCAAATCTGTGCGTTTAATGTTTGCATTAAAATGTGAAAATACTTCTTTTAATTGTGTGGGAGAAAGTGTTACAGCTTCTTTCTAAAAATACAGGAAGAATGTTGATGGCAGGAGAAAATATTGAAGAAGTGCTTTGTTCTAACATGCAAAAGTAAAACCTGTGATTATATTATTCCTGAAATAACAATTCCAGACAGATAATCCTTAATTTAGTTGAAATCCATAAATAAACAGAATCATGTTACCCTGGATGTCAAAATCAGTATTGTCTTTTTTGACTTGTTACTATTCTGTTTGAAATTGATTTAAGGGGAATTTGCTTTGCTTTGACTTCATTCTCTCTCTTTGTCTTTTTTTTTAAGGTCGACTCAAATCAAAACATACTCTTGGGATAATGCCCAGGTTATTTTGGTTGGTAACAAATGTGACATGGAGGATGAACGGGTAATCTTCACTGAGAGAGGCAAACATTTAGCAGAGCAACTTGGTAAGAAATTACAAAAGATTTATGAATGCTTGTGAGAAATCACAAAGAAATATCATTAATTGCTATGATACTTGTAGTGAAATGTTTGTGATACATTCACTGTACAGGAATAGTCATACGCCACCTCCCTTTTGTTTCTGCAGGCTGAGGTCTGAACTGTCCTTGTTGATACCACTAATACTGTAACATCATTAGAATGGACATGTGTCCAGGGTTGACCTTATACAGAGCTGTGATATGTCTGCTATCTAAAAGTGTCCACAAGACCGGCGTTGGCTCAGAGGCTGGGTTAGACTAAAGACGTATCTGATAAAACATTACTAATTCTGATCCTTAGACAGGAAGTACATTATGGCCTTTGTGATAAGCAGCAAGATTAGGCATGTGTCTGTATATATACAGTATGTTTAGACAGTTACAGCTACAGGCAGATGCATCCTAGTGAGGATGCAAGTTGGGAACATTTGGGTTATGATTACCAATATCAATAATCCAAACCAGAATGACACCAATATCCAGCTCCCACTGCTAACAGTTCAACTACTGCACATTCACACAGGTGTAAATAATGCGAACCTCTGTTTCATAAAGTCTCCACTTAGAAGGCATATGTTGTCCACTCAGAAAACTGTGGAGCTGTGAACATCTCTGTTCTTTCTGTTTCTACCCAGCAGTGATATTCTTTCATACCATGAAAAGTTTTTGAGTTGACACTGGCCAAACTTAATTAATCATCTTAATACTACTACTGACCTGTTTTTTCCTTCAAATTTGCTGTCTCTGGAAAGCATGCTTGGCGGGTGTGCAGATCAAACCTTGTCATCATTTGAGGTCAATTTCCTGCTGTACTGGGCATAGGTTTGTTACTATTTTTAAAACTAACCATGGTAAAGGCTCAGTCTGGTGAACATGCGTGCAACCAAGATCTCCTCATCACTATTCCTATACAGGAGCTTAGCGGAAAGGGTGTTGTAAGAGTAACTGCATGGGAAACAGAGAGAGATGGTGTCATTTCACACATACCACCTGTGCAGTATCTAATCCCATGCTGGTGGTTCTTAACCTATGCATGTTCATAACTCACTGACTTTATTTCTTAGTATATTTTCTCTAGTTGTACAACTGCTTGTCCTGGTAAATAATTTAATCAGAATAACATATCTGCCTACTGCATTTGTCTAAATAAGCATTATGCATAAAAGCTATTATTATGTCTAAATAAGCATTCTGTGTAAAAGCTAAAATAAACATTAAAAATTAACATAAATTAGTCCTTTAAACATGACAGAAAAGATTTAACAGGAGGTTATGTCCTGAAAAATTGCAAATATTTGTGAAAAACTGAATTTCTAAAACTGTTTCAACAAAACCAAAATGGTTACTATTGCACCCGCTTTAACAGAGGGTAGTTTTCTTTGTAGAAATACCTGTCACATTATATATTCCAATATATATTTCCCTTTGTTAGCATTTCTAATATTTAGTCATTTACTAGGAGCAAGGAAAGTGTATTCAATGGAAAAGAGATCAAAAAAAATGTAACCATATACTTTCACCCCCCCATTTATACCAGGCACTAAAACGTCTGGCAATAAACATAAATTTGCAATGTAGATTTTGAAGATTTTTTAATTTTAAAGTAACGTAACTAATCTGAATTTCTATTCCTTGAACTATATTCCTATGGAAAGATTAATGTGAGTTGACAAGGAATCCCCAAGGTCATGAATTTAGCAAGACAAGAAGGAACTTTCCATGTTGTCAAGAATCCTCAGCTGTAATAACCAATGCTTGCAAAAAAAAAAAAAAAACAAACAGGAAGAGTAATGAGCTAGATATCAAAACTCATGTTTCAAGCTTTAAAGCAAACTCTAACTCCTGGGATTTAGAATTCAATCTCTATGGAAGCAGATTATCCACTGTTCCAGTCTTTATCTTCTCGAGGTTTTCCTTTTTCAGGTATATATTCTATGGCTATCTCAAGGGCAGATAATTGTATCAGATAAATTATGGCTCTGATCAAGTATGTTGTTTATGGTACTCAGACTGCACACACGAATGTTTATGTGTTCTCTGTACAGCTGCAATAATTTCTTAACTCTGCTCAGAGATTGTGGAAGATGGTGTCAGGAAAAGCAGAAGAATGAGTTTCTCTGAACCAAATTGTAATAAGTGCTCTGTCCATGTTGGCCAGTTTGAAGGACACATGTTGAACACTTGGGGCTGTCTTTTCTTTCTCTGCCAGTTAATTGATAACATCTCTTGTGGATATGTTTTAAAAATAACAATATGGATTTTTGTGTCCAGCAAGATACTTCAAGATTGTAGGCCCTTTGAATGCCATGGTCTGCAACATTGATTGCAGCCACAATTACAAGCAAGCAAGATGCATGACTGCTGTACAAAGAACATGTTGTGAAACACTGTTCTCAAGTGTGGTTTTATTTTCAGCACTAGTTTATTTGAAGTCACTGGGAAAAGGAATACATGTACATTTTTGGGCTGGGTTTTCAAAAGGTCAAAAAAAAGCATTGGGCATTTAACCCTCCAGGAAGCACAGTGTCCTACTGAGAACAGCATTATTGGAAAATTGGGCCTTTTTTGTTGCTGCTGACCTCATTTCCTTGAATCTCAGTGCTGGCTTAATCCTCAAGTGTAACTCAAACATAGTTTAGATCAACCACCAATAGGCCTCGTTACCTGCAAAAGTCTGGCTAAACTAGTCAAGTATCCTGTGGTAGCTCCAAGTACCTCTCTCATAACACTAACAGAAGTTCACAAAAAAAAGAATGGTTAAGAAAACCATATCTGACCTTGAAGGTAAACTAACGGAATGTTTATCAAGTCAATCTTTCTCTCCTTTCCACATTAGTTTGGTTTTTTTACTAAGCTTGTTGTTAATGACATAGGGTATGACACTGGTGATACCACCAATAAAAGCAGCAATCAGTGTACTACCGTACGTACAGCAATGGCCAGAAGTAGGTTCCTGGTGTGGTTTAAGCCCAGACGATAACTCGGAACAACGCAGCCACTCGCTCACTCCCCCTGTTCTTCCTCCCCCCGCTCCCAGAGGGATGGGGAGGAGAATCGAAGGAATGTAACTCCCACGGGTTGAGATAAGAGCAGTCCAGTAACTAAGGTATAATACAAACCACTACTGCTACCCATAATAATGATAATGGTAAGGGAAATAACAAGGGGAGAGGACATAACTGCTCACCACCCGCCGACCGATACCCAGCCCGACCCGAGCAGCGATCTGGGCCTTCCGGGTAACTCCCCCCAGTTTCTATACTGGGCATGACGTGCTGTGCTATGGAATACCGCTTTGGCCAGTTTGGGTCAGGTGTCCTGTCTCTGCTTCCTCCCGGCTTCCCCTCCTCCCTGGCAGAGCATGAGACTGAGAAAGTCCTTGGTCAGAGTAAACATTACTGAGCAACAACTGAAAACATCGGTGTGATCAGCGTTGTTCCCAGGCTGAAAGTCAAAAACACAGCACTGCAACAGCTACTAAGGAGAAAAATGACTGCTGTAGCTGAACCCAGGACAGTGCCTTATGTAAGATATAATAGGGCAAATATATTGTGATAGTGTACCAGGCTGTAGCAAATTATATTCATGGGTCTCCTGAACCAAAAGGCAGTATCTTTCTATTCAATTGCCCTTTCATGTTTTTTTTTTTCTCATGGACTTGTCCATTGATGTCTCTGAAACCATATGCAACCGTACCATCCACAATATCTTTTAAATATGCAGTTTATCTGCTTCCACTTTGAATCAGCCACTTGCTAGTTTTGTTTGATGCTTCTTCACTGTTATATTCTGAGAAACAGTGAACAATTGTTTGCTGTTACCTGCTCTGTAACATCATTGGTTTCAGAGACCTTTATCATACCCCTCCTTTTTCTCCAGGCTGAAATTCCCAGACTGTTTCACCCTTCAAGATACAAAGACCATCTCACACCTTAGCTAGTCCTTGTCACCCTATTCAGTATTCTTGTAAGTGGTACAGGCTTTTTAAAGAAATTAGTTCATGGTTGATTAACATAATAGTATCATTAAAAAAGTAATGAGGTTAAAAAAGATAGGATGAAATAAATGCAGTTGAGTCATGTAAGTTTACCTCATAGAGATATCTTACCAAGAAAATACAGAAATGTGACGTATCAGTCAGTAGAAAGAACTAATTAATGTAATGTTAATATTGACACAGGAATCATAGCAAACACATTTAAACAAGTTTATTCACTAATCACTACTAAAAAGAGTGTGGAAAGCCCTGTCTCTTCATTAATGTTTGCTCTGAGCACTATATGCATCGGCTATGGAGAGTAATCCCAATATAGTCAGCACCCATGTGCTTTAGAGCATTTAGTAAAAAAGGCTGGGAACTTACAAGCAAAATGTATGCACACTTCCCAGCTGCATTACTCACACAGTTTTCTGACATATTCATCTCATACATCTCAGCTGAGTTCAAAGTTTCATATGTTTATGAAAGTGTGGTGTCATCTGTCAGAACAGAAATAAAAAGAATGACTCACAGATGGAATGAATTTCTTGGTTCCTTTTATTCATGGTCTGTATGACATATTGTGATGTATGTTCTGGTAAAGGATTAGCAGGCAGAGGTGTACACAGAGCTTTGAACTGCACATGCAAATAGACAGTTACGTGTGTAGTTTGGCACACAATTTCTCTATGATGATTTGTTATGCATGAAAATTAGCTGCATAATTGTATATATGTTCTTTGGTTGTTCATGTCCTTCTGTACAACTCCTATTTGTTATGTGTGTGGTACAAATTATTTCAACACTCATTAGTTTTTAATTGCAAATACTCCCATTACAGAGTATATAATCTATTTAAAACCAGGGTCTCTAAGGTTGCTGCAAAAGTATAATACTGCCATAGGTTCAAACCAGACATAGGTTCAAATTCTTCAAATTAAAACCATTCAGCACCCCAGCAAGCCTGAAAATAGAGTATTTGTTA